ATTGCCTTTATAATGGAAACTGAATTCTTACAACTGAATTCTTTAGTACGAGAAGTATATCAAACAACATTTGTAATTATATTTCATACTTATTCTTGCTTTTCCTCATTTTAAGACAAAATCGCGTCCAAAATATTCTATACAATCGTTAATAATAGGAAAATAATAATTTCATAATACAAAGTCAATTATCACAAAATTATTCATTTAATAATTTTATAGTAAGGCTATTTTCCTCCATCTATGATTTGTTTCATTTTTTACATGACCAAATTCAAATCTGATTCTAAGCTCACCAATTTTTGATATTGGTAATATATCTGGTATCCACTCAATTAAAAATGGTGTTGGTTCGACTTGATTAGGAGAAGTATTTCCTGTAAAATAAAGCAATAAATTTTGTTACATCTGAAAATAAATAAATATCCTCAATATTTACTTATTTGTACAGTAATAGCTCATCAAATATATACGGTTCTTACCAACTTTCAAATATGTTTTTAATTCTAGTGGCTTAATCAGTGCATTATTGTTAGTTTTCTTGTATCGATCTATTTCCGTTTCCTCTCGTTTATACAATTCATATGTACCATCTGCATTTTGTACAAAACTTCTTGTTATTTCTAAAGGTATAAGCGGTGTTTCAAAAATACTTTTGACATGTAGAATATTAGTTATTTGCCAGGTGTATTTGGTAAATGTACCCAATGGTACTCCATCTTTTCTGACAAACGCTGTCGTCGAATTTGGCAATCGTTTCTTTTTACCGCCACAAGATATCCTTTCACGTAAACAATCAAAAAATATTTGTGGTACATGAAATACTAGAGGATCGGGTTTCCCATCGAATTGGAAGTGCATAGTCTGATTTATTCTTTCAGTTATAGACGCCAACCATTTAATAAAAGACAAATTTATGTTGGCTTCATCTAAATCCTCACAAGGATTTTGATATTTTTTAACAATTTGCAATTTTGTTTTTGCTTTCCGAGGCTCTATCGAATTTAAGTTATTCAAACTTGTAGTATTTGTGCTTGTAGGTTTATCATCCCTCTTACGTTTCGTTGAAATAGGTTGCTGTATATTACTGCCTTCAGTATTTGATACACTACCAGTATCATACTGTATTAGTACATTTTTATTTAATACTTTCATATTTGTGGTGTTTGAAACTGTATTAGTATCAATTAATTTCATATTATTCACGTCTAAAATTGCATTTGTGTCGAGTACTTTTAAAGTTCCAGTATTTAATATTTTTATGTTATTATCGTTTAAGATATACTGACTATTGTTAAGCACGTTATATTTAGAGTCTATAGCCGTCTGATTTTCCAATATTTTCACTGTACTTCCTCCAATTTGGACATTGTTTTGATTAATTACTTCCAAATTGTGAACCTGTAAAATAAAACAAACCATTTTTATATTCCACTTTCTAAATAACATTGTATTTATTTACTCAAATACAAAAGTTTTACCTGTGGTATCATATTATTATCTTCTAATAAGGTACGATCACATTCTACTTCAATATTTTCAACAATACTATGTGGTAATATTGTAGAATCCAAATTCATTGAATCTAAATCCAATCTATTTCCATCTAAACTTTGCACTGTTAAAGTATCATCTCGAAATATCAAAAGATGTGTATCTGTATCATCAGTAGTCAACCCATCAAGATCTGTAATTTCAGACAATACAGATACTTCTTACATTAAACATAAAATTTAATTAGATTTAATTCTCTTACCAATACCAACTATTTTTTCTTGTTCACTATTTTGTAACATTGTTGTCAATGGTTTTGGTATACTTAAATCAGTCTGATCTAAATTTATGTAATAACTAAATTCCTCTGACAGTTTTTCATCACTAGCAAATGCACATATACATGCATAAAAATGTACACAACGTTTACTCTGTGAAGATGGTCCTAAATCTACCTTCTCTCCAGCTGTTTTTGCCACACCCTATTAATTTCAAACACCTTTAATGATATCCATTTCAGTATGCATTTCAAAATATAACACACTATTGGTTTTTTTCTACTTGCCTTAAAAGCGGAACAAGAACAAAAGTAACGATGTTCCATTCTATCTTTTAACTTTGTAACAAAGAGAGAAAAATGAAGATAACCCAATGGATGTTTTGGTGAAGCTTTACACTTCACAGCCATGATATTTTTAGAAACACGTTGCACTAAAGGTCCTGATGTTTCTGTAGCCAATAACCATATTTCTTGTTTCATTTCATTGTTTACATTTAAAGTTGATAAAATAGAATTCCTTAATGTTAATGGTTGTGCTTCCGCATAACACCTTAAAGCTGCCTGTATGTGTTGGCACGTAGAAACAGGCATGTCAGATGAATTTTTTTCCTGCAATGAAAGTTTCTTCAATTTTTGGTCATAATATAATTAAGGAGAACATACATTATTTGATAAACTTACATGACATTTAAGGACACTAGTATCAAAACTTCTTTCACAACTATCAACAAAACATAATGCTGTAGACTGTGAAATTAGGGTTGTCATTTCATTAGAAATGGTTGCATTTATTAATGGAAGTTGAACAAATCCACGATAATCTGGACCTTTATCACGCACTCGAACAGAAAAAACTTGAGCTGTTGTGCCTGTCATAAGTTTACATGCTTCTGTAGATAATTTCCTTTTTTCACCAGGTTCTTTAAACACTGCATCACAGTACTTATTTTTGCAACACAGGCCACGGGAACCATTATAAGTGCCACACTTTGGACATTTACGAACTCCACGTAATGTAGCTTTACCTAAATCTGATAAAAGCTTCCTTAAACGCTCTTCATTGGACATAGCTGTTGAAAGTTAGATATCAATTTATTAACATTTAAAATATTATCAATTATTATATAGCTGAACTATTTAATACCTAATACTATGTTCTACTAATTTAATATTATAAATGTATTATTTCTATAATTTTATTTATTTTTTTTAATCAGCTACTGAAAACATGTTTATAATAATATTAATATAAATTGCTGAACTACAATTATGTCTACTTCAAGAAGTCTATTTATAAACAGAAATACATAAGGTTCCAAAACAATAAATAAATAAAAAAAATTATAAAAAACAGAAGAAAATTTATTTGTTTATTTTTTTTAAGTATTAGTAAAACCCTATCTAAATGTCTAAATATTGTTTAATATGACACATTTTGTAAATGTTGAGCAATATAAAAGTTAAAAGTATTACGAAGTTTTAATTGTTTCTTACCTTTGCAGGATAATCAATAATTATAATACGTAAAAACTTTATGTACTTTTCACTAATAAATTATATTCCAGGATAGTTTGCTTCCGATAGTAAATAAATAAAGCTCATCTCAGTACTAAATTGCAAACATTTACGATAGAGGGCACTATTTCTTGAAACATTAATCCAAATTTACAAATCCAATACATATAGGTTGAAAAATGCATTTCTAACAGTATATGTAATAATTTATGAATATTTTCTTCGTGGTATTATATTCACATTGCTTTTATAATTGCATTCGTCAATATCATTTATTATAAAAGCTAAAAATATTATTTTAAAATCAAAGACAGAAGTTTAAATGATTTGCACCATAGAACAAGGTAATAGCATAGGTGGGAATGTCTTTTTTTTAGCCTCTGAGTAAAAATTAAATAAATGTATTAATAAATAGATTGAACAATATTTACATACTTTATTGAACAGCATACATTTGTATATACCTATTGCCGAATATTTACAAAAATATTCTATTTTTTAAATAGGTTTCAAATGCATTCATTGAAATATGGTTTTCCATATCAAAAATTAATGAAAGTAACGATAGTTTCAATATTTTTTGAAGTAATTCTTTAATATGCTACTATCTTCATGTAAAATGTATAAAATTTGTTTATAAAAATGTCAAACAGAAGTGATTTTAGACAGATAAGCTTCTGTTTATGTTTACATTATCAGTTGTGTTGATATCAAATCACACAGCCATGTTTAGCATAGTGTAGTCAAGTATCAAATGTATGGTATCAGTACGGACCAAATATTAAGTATTCAAAAAGACTGGTGTATATATCAGTAATGTTTATTATTGTTGAAAAATTGCAATATCAATGAACGTATTGTTACACATAGTGACTGTGAAATCTATCATCTTCTGTAACCTCCAAGAGTGACAATTTCATCAATTTTCCCAATACTTATTCAATGAAGTTTTTGGGCAGAACATTGAATGTGAATAGAATTCGTGTATAGTAATTTAACGGTATTTATTGAAACATTTTATTTAATTATAATCATCGATAATTTCATTAACCTTTGTTTTGTACGCTAATTCGAAATTCTATACTATGATAGTTAAGGTTACGTACGATTAATCCTTTAATGATGTTTCGTGGATTATATTTTATTTTCTATTACTTTTTAAATAATTCGCCAATAAACCATTGAAACAATAATATAATTTTCCTAAGGTGAATTTACAAAAGTAGTGATCTAAACTCGATAAATATGGCATCGGCAATTGAAATATTATGGAAACAAGCATTGAAAACATTCGACGGACGAAGGAACGTTGGATTTAAGCTTTGTCAAAAGAATTTTGATAAATTGTGGAATTTAATGAATAAAATCACAGCCGAAGATGTAAATTTAAACAAGCAAATTCTTGATTTTATACAAATACAGGCAGCACCAATGTGTGTTATTGATATATTTGAAAATAAAGATTTAACTATTTCAATTTTCATACTGAAACATGGAGTTACAATGCCAATGCATGATCACCCGGGAATGCATGGGTTTTTAAAGGTATGTGAATTAAATGTAAGCTGATATAAATACATATTATATAAACCGATAGCTTCTAATTATATTATGTATATGTATGTATATCCAGGTAATTAGTGGTGCAGTTCAAGTGAACAGTTATACTTTGAAGACAAATGATGATCATATAATCAAATTAAATAAAGAAATAGCAGCATTTAGACATCGACCAATATCTTTACATAGTAATTCACCTGCTTGTGTCCTTACACCACAAGACAAAAATTTACATGAAATTTCATGCATCGAAGGTCCTGCTGCATTTTTAGATATTCTTAGTCCACCGTACGATGAGGATGATTCTGGAAATGGTCCAAGACCATGTACATTTTTCAAAACTATTAGTTCCAAATTATCTACTGATTTACCAGATATTATTGAAGAAGTCAAATTATTAGCTTTTGAAGGCCCACCTAACTTTGATTCTGAAAGTCTGAAATACACAGGACCACCTTTAATGTGACGTGAAACATCAAAACATGTCCTCTGTTCTATTTGTTAAAAATTTGTACATTTCCCAACAATGATTTACAACTCAAGAACAATTTGATTGTATTAAGAATTGTTATGATTATTTAACTTCTAACTGAATGTAAATTCTTATTGTTTATTTTGAATAAGGAACTCATTATAAGTTAGAAGTAAAGCATAAGTTTTATATGACAGAAGTTACTTTTTACTTTATGATGTTGTTTTCAATTTTATTTACTGATATTTTGAAATGTACCAAAATTGTTTCCTTTTTCTTATAAATCTCATGCATTTTGTTTTGCATTTTTATTTACCTATTAATTATTAAAAAAGTTATAACTAAGTAATTATATTAAATTTACTGATTCCTTGGCACACAAAACTGAAATGTAAACAAAAATGTATTATAGTACATACGATTGATGTGCAAAGCGCGGTAAAAAAATATACGCTAGTTATAGAAAAATGACAAAAATTCTATTTGTACAAAGGTAGATGCGTTAAGTACAACAGAATACATTCTTTATATGATGTAAAAATTATAC